CAGAAGATGCTAAATTGCATAACAGCAACTCTTTGCTCTAATTCTGTACGATTCTCAGAAATCTTCTTTATACTGTGGTATCCTCAAGCATCATCCATCAGTGCATTCATCCACTCAATATCTAGGAACTTGCCCAAAATTACTGGGCCACCGACCACGTGTCAGGCCCTGTGCCGGGTATGTGAAGTGTTTGTCCCTAATGGAGCCCACAGCGGGCAATGGACAGACTACTAAGTGAAGACAAACCCCCAAAGTCCCACAAAGGTCAGGCTGCTGCAATGCCATCACAGAGAGAAGAAATTAGGGTAACAGGATCCAGAGAACAGGAAGTGTAAGCAGGATCTTGGTCTGGAAGGTGAAGAAAATAGCATCCAAGTAGAACAAAGAAAACTGCCAAAGTCCTAGAGCACTAAAAGGTATGTGGGGCCCAGAGAAGTGCAGTGTGCCTAACACACAGGTTGCTGTGTCACCAGGGGCTGGACAGCTTCGGAGATCAACAGCTGCAATATGCAGGCCACTGTAGGGAAGAGTGCAGATTTCACTGTGAGTGTGACAGCTGTTTCAGGGTTTTAAGCGGGGTAGGGGTGGGGGGGGGTGACCTAATGGAATTTTTGTTTATTATTTTGGGACTCTTACTATGAATCCAGGCTGGTCTTGAACACGTGGGAATCCTCCTGCTTCAGCCTTAGTGCTGGATTCATAGGCATGTGCCACCACTGCTGGTGCCCTGTGTTTTTAAATGATCCCCCTAGTGGCATCTTGGAAAATCACGAAGAGGGTCAAGAATGAAGGTGGCAGCCTTAAAGATGCCCGAGTACAGGCAAACGGTTCCTGTGGCCTGGACCACAGTGCAGAGGTGAAGAGTGATGGATAGATGAGGTATATCCTGAAAGAAAGCTTGATAAAACTTGCTGGTAGGTGAGGGAGGGCTACCATAAAGGGAAATGCCCAGTTTCTGATTTAAACCAATGGACTCGAGAAGAGAATTGTGAGAAGCCAGTTTAGTGGGGACTGTTAATAAGTACTGCTTGGGATGTGCTTAAGATGTTGATGTCTGTGAGGAAGGCCAAGAGGTCTGCAGCTGGAGAGGTATTGAGAGTCACAGGAACAGGGGAGAAATCATCATAAACCCAGGGACCAACCCCGAGAAGCACGCACAGCAGAAGTTGAGAGGAGCAGCTGCTAAAGAAAACCAATTCCCTGGCAAACGCAAGGGCCTGAGTTCAATCCCTAGTTCTGCCAAAATCAATCACTCAATCAACCAATCAATCATAGAACCAAACTGTAAATCAATCAATCATAGAACTACATTGTAAATTTAAAGAAAACCAAAAGCAATGGCCAGCGAGGTGAGGAAAACCAGAGAGGCCGTGGGAAGTGGAGTCAGGGAGCAGGAGTAGGCAGCCATGTGCCACATACTTGGAGGAAGTCAAACACGACGAAGATAGAAGATCCTCGGCTAGGGGCTGGGGAGATGGCTCAGTGGAATAAGCACTTGCCTGACAAGCGCAAGGGCCTGAGTTCAATCCCCAGTTCCACCAAAAAAAAAAAAAAAAAAAAAAAAGTTCCTCAGCTAGATGCTAAATCAGAAAGTGATCAGTGATGTGAATGAAGTGGCAGCAGCAAAGCTAGAACAGTGGTTTCTACAATGAGTGACCTACTCATAGAAGTTTTTAGCAAAGCTAAGAAAAGAAGGATACTTGCTTCCTTTAGTCAAGTGCATCAATCTGACACCTGTGGTGATCACAGCCCTCTGATGAACTAATACAAGTATTCACATGCTTTATTTCCCCAGCACTGCATTAAATGTGCCATCCCAGAGCAAAAAGGGAGTAAAAATAAATGAGATACCATCTGTATAATTAGAATGCAAGGGTTCAGTTAGCTGGCTAGTTATATAATATCTAAAAACTATTCATTAATAATGACCAAGTAGAAAAGAAAAAAAGTCTTATTGGAATAACCCAGCTACAGAGACCTTGATGGGAAAAGGAGATGCCCAGGATGGGGCTGGCTTTAGCTCACTGCGTGAGGACAATTCCTTGTTCATCTGAGAGGTCCTGGGTTAGATAAGTTATCACCAGTGTTTCTAAAGTGGCAACAAATGGCCTTGGTCATTTCACCCTCAAGAGACAGTCTGTCACAAGCCATAGCAAAAGAAGGAAATCCAAAGTATAAAATTTTCTGCAAATTAGTTCTTTGTAATGGGAAAATATGCAGAGCTCATACTTTGTAACATTCTAGGAGACTGGAGGACACCTACCTTTCAATGAGGATCCCAGAAAAGAAAAGCCACACTTCTGCATTTCCAATCAGCCATTATCTTGTGATAAACAAGGGGGCCAGACCTGCTCCCTATGGAAGCCCATGTAGAACAACCTCTTGGGATCTGCCTCTTCCATGACTGGGGAGAGGGATATCTTTTTTCTTTTTGCTATTTTGTTTTTGTTGTGGAGTCTCACTAAGGTGCCTACACTGGTCTCCAGCCATGCTAAGCTCTATGCCAACTTTCTAACAGAGAGAAAGAGAACACAAGAGCAAAGTGTTGAGGAATCAAGTCAATACTGACATTAATATTTCTATAGTAGGAAAAAAAAAACCTAGAACTTGCTGAAACTTTTATTTCAGCCTCCAAAAGTTATAAATCCTTTGCTTATTGATGTAGCAGGAACCAAATTAAAAATTAGGGCTTGTCAAGGAAAAGTCCTTCCAATCTTTTATCGAGAAATTCCTAAAATATAAGGGCTGGCCACAATGGCTCAGCAGACTCAAATGCCTGCTTGGGCAGATGCAGGGACTGGGTTTGATACTCAGCATGCTGTGCCCTGGGGTGCGCTGAGATATGGACTGAGACTGGGTACGGTGATGCGTGCCTATAATCCCAGAACTTAGGAGTCTGAAAACAGGAGGATCACTGAGTCTGATTTGTGTAGTGAGACCCTATAGACCTTGTACTAATCACATTAAAAAAAATAGAACTTCAAGAAATTCCTAAAATAAGGGTCAGCCAAATAGATCAGCAGATTAAAGCACCTGCAAGCAGGCGCAGGGGCCAGGGGTTTCATCCCTGGGCCTGCCATGCTGACCCCGGTCCCAGGGTGCGCTCTTGGGAGGTTGTAAACTGGAGGATCAATACGAGTCTGATCTAGTAGTGAGACCCTGAACACCCTGTAGGCCCTTCCCTAAAATACAAAAAAATAAAAAATAAAAAAAATCCTAAAATAAAAAAAATCTGGGGGCCGGGGAGATGGTTCAGTAGAATAAGCGTTTCCCTGGTAAGTGCAAGGGCCTGCCATATATATATAAAATCTGAATATAAATTACAGGTAGATTTTCAGATAAAAAGAGGATTCAGTATAATAAAGCAATAGTTTTTCCTAGTTAACCCATAACATGTAAATTCAACTCAATCTCAACTAAAATTTCTAATGAATCTTTTGTGACCTTAACTAGAACAATTCATAGTCACTGATTTACCAGACTATCCAGTCTTAGGGCAGAATAAATCAATTAATAGTGTATTTTCAAGGGAAATAAAAAAGAAAAAGGATGAAACATGAACTCCAATTTGGACAGAAAGGAACAATAGCTTGTGAGAAGCCCATGGGGCCGGCCAATGGGATAGACTTCACGTTTCCAACATTTCCCCCAATGCTCAATATTGATTTATAGTCACAATAAGAGAAAGATGTTTGTTTTTTATTTTTTTATTTTATTTATTTATTTATTTATTTACTTATTTGAGAGA